CCTCTCCAAAAATTCGCGGGTTAGCCAAGTACTATACACAAAATTAGAAAGAAGCCACGTACAACCTAGAACATGTTAGAGAAGAAGCTTGCTCCTCCTCGATTCTAAACTGCAAGCGGGCAGATTCGCCGAGTATGAAGTTTAAAACTTAAAGAACTAGAAATTGATATCGAAAGAGCTGGAAAGACACTCACCTGACTCAAAGGACGAATCCTCTCGTGAATCGACTTTTCGGCCTGCATGGCGGATGGTGGCGGATGATCAGGCGTCGGTGGCTGAGCATAGTGCGTGGGACTGGTGGGCAGCATCATTTGTACTCGTTTCAGGCGCTTGTCGGTTGCCTCGCGACCCTCCGGCGTCGGGTGCTCGTCGACGGCGTCCCGCTTGTCGTCCAGAAGGCTTTCCTGGGAAGACTTGAGCGTGAGGAACGCGTTCGACACGAACGTCGGCTCCTGGACGAACGAGTCGGTCTCGCTGCACGGCGACTTGTCCGCGCATGGACTGCTCTCCGGCTCGTAGTTCTCGAACGCGTGCCTGCGTAACTTTCGTCGGGGATTCAGCGTCTTGATCGGCCTGTTCTCGTAGATGGAAGTGATGGCAACCGGCTCGACGTTCGACTCGCGCTTCTCCTCGCCATCCGGCACGCGTGGCGACTTCATCTCCACGTATTGGTCCACGCTTCTCGTCACGTGACGCAGTTGTTCACGACGTTTCTGTAGCTGTTCCAGGTCGATGTGACTGCGGGCGCCGCTGCGCGCCATGAACAGATACTCGTAGTTGCTCGGGCCCAAAGTACAGTCCGCCGACAGAGACATCTGGGTCTGCAGGTGCGTCGGCGAGACGGAGAGATTGCGTCTGGGTGGCTTTTTCGGTGGCGTTGGCTGCAATAACATCAATTATTGCGCGCACACGCACACACCCTCTCCCTTATTTTCTCAGTACGTTTCGCGACGAAAAAAAAAAAAAAAAAATGGATTTTATTTAAATACACGGTGTTCAACCTGGGCCTCATTGGCCAACAGAAATTTATCGACGGCCGCACCGTAGTTTATACATTTTTTTTCTTTGTCAGTTCAATCTATATTATTTATGAGGATACTAAAACAATGTTTACAGCGACACAAAACTACGATTAGGAAAATATATTTGTATCAATTAAAAAAATACGAAAATTTTTAACAACACTGAGCTTGTTTTTTTTGGATACCAGTTCATCAATATCTGATTTGATATAGATTCGTGGCAATACACAGAAAATATTTTCAAAATGCTGAAATTTTTATTCCTGTTTTACTTTTTGTGCGCGTCATATGGGGGAAAAAGTCTGCAAATATAAATACTCCTCGAAAGGAGCATCATGAACAGCGCATGTTCGCTGAATATTTTTCTTTCAGCAAGCGTAGTTTATAAAAGTATAATAAAGTACATTTAATTACAACTCGATACATTCCATCGATATCAACTGAGAATAGAGTAGCAAACGTGCCAATCGTCTAAAATGAAAAATATTTCGTTGGCTCTTGGAAATTATTCGTAATTAGTCACTCTAGTCAATAAATTAAAAAGAGATATGATTATTCATGGTTAAAATTATTCAAGTAATGAAATTCTTATTTAATTATTCCAATTTTTTTTTTCTGGTTATACAGCCTGATCTAGAAGAATATAAATATATATGAAAAATGGAAGAAACAGAAAATAGAATAGCAACACTTAATTGAATGAAAAGGATCGACACTTGGACAACAATTTGATGCATCGCAAAATATGGAAATAAGGGACACGGTGTCAATTAAGGATTGAGGTTAATAACGATGAAAATGAAACCCTGCTTCTAGATAAAACAAAGACAGTTCAGTGTTAATGAAGTCTGGATAATAACAATCGTTCGGATATCTTTCGACGATAATATTCGATCGCCATTTTTTTTTTTTTTTTTCACGAGCCAGCGTCAAGCTGTCGGGCCAATTAACTCGCGATCAATTTGTCCACGTTAACGAACTGTAAGGCGCAGAGATGATTCATTGCTGGGTTACACGGTACGCTTGTCCACGATGTAAAAAAGGAGTCAATCTCGAACAAGTGGGGGAAAAAAAAAAGAAAAGAAAATGGAGAAGAAGAACGTTTAAGAAAAGACAATTCATCGTACAAATTGAAACTCTGCCAATATGGGGGTCAACAATCATTCGATACTGGAGATTTAAAAAGAAAAAGGTGGAAAAGGAAGAAGGAAGGTATTAAACTAGGTAAAATTTCAAGTATGATATAAGACCGTAGCACTATATGACAAAATTAATATATTATTTTACATTATAATTTTTTATACAGAGTGCAAGTTGGTCAAACTTTGGTATCGCGTTCTACTTTGTTCCCTCTCGAAAATTTGGCGTCGACGATACATTTCATCAAATTACATTATGACAATATCACACGATTAAACGTCACCTACACTCTGTATAAAATCGTCAGGTACCAAATTACATCGGGACATTGCCAAAAACCATTATCACCGGAGACACGACGAAACGCGAATCAATTAGAAGAGCGAAAGATTTCGCTTCTCGCGACCTCGTACAACCCCTTCACCTTCGTTCAGGGACGAGATCTCGAGGAGAGACGAGGTGGAGTAGGAGGAGGGGGAGAACGAAAGGGGGATATTCTTACCGAGACTTTACTGTTGGAGGCGGGGCTATGGAGAGAGCTGGACAACGGTGCCATTGGCAAGTAAATCCCGGCGGCGCTGGAATCGTTGGGCAAACAACGCCGGTCCCGTGGGCTCGGTCCACCGACGCTCGAGGACGAGGAAACGCTCAATTGATCCGACTCCCTGCCACCCCCGTATCCCGTGGGTAATGTCAAGGACAGATCCTCCGACACGAAGCTACCCTCCATCGTTCCACGAGGTACCGGTGGCGTTTGGTACAGTCCGTTGTCGGAACCCCTGCACAACCAAACTCAACGTCTCAACGGGACCATTTCTCCATTAGCTTGGAACCTTGTTGATGGTTTTACCTTCTTCCAACAAGATTCTCTGTTTCCTGTTTCTTTTTTCTTTTTTTTTTTTTTTTT